CATATATATATATATGTGTTATATATATATACATATATATATATATGTGTTATATATATATATATATATATGTGTGTGTGTGTGTGTGTGTATGTATATAATTGTATGCGACTGAATAGGTAACTGCACATGTTTACGTGTTCATACCATTGACAGTCTCAGCGTAAGAGTCGGACAGGGGGCGGTAGTGAGTATTGAATATTGATCCTAATACATACTCTATTTCAAAAACCGCTATTGGCTTGTATGAATATTCTGATACAATACTTCTCATTTTAATATAAGTGCTTTTATTCATCATGTATTTATAATCATATACCTCAATATACTGAGATAGACTATCATATACCTTGGACACATACAGCTATCGGAAGAATCGGATTACTCGACTAAATATTAAAAAGCCAAGATCTTCCGCGGTCAATCTGTAGACTCAACATCGGACATTGGAGATAGTACGAGCAGAACAAGCAGAATAACCATATCTCGGCTTCTTCGGCTTAGATCGTGTGCAACCGAGTGACGCTTGGATGCAAACAATTGAGTTCAGCTTGTTAAGCTCGCATTACTATACATTCCGTTGTCAATTCTTAGTCCTAACCCTTTCCCGATCCCAGACAACGCCCACACACAGGGATCAGTGGTCATCTCGTCGGGTACGTATTGTCCTGAGTGTTTCGATGGATGACAGCACTCAGAGTACTAATCCCCGAAGCGGTCTCGATCAACAGCAAATGCCTAGTTAAAGCCCACCGTTCCTTGATATTTTGGCCGTTTGTTCCTCGCGACGTGTCTCCTCGTCAGCACATTCTGCAGCTAATACGCCTGTGAGCCTCTACCAAACTCAAGTGCCTGGCCCATCCACCCATCATCGATTGCCACAACACGGCATCGCCCTTGTGTGTAGCAACGCCACCTCAAACAGCGACATATAGCCTGTGAATGTGATTCTGGTCCTTTGATCGGTGTATATGCTGAGACTATAGGCGTATACCATCTACTATATAGAGGTGAAAGAAGCACAGACGAACGTCTGCCAGGTGTTGATGACCAATAACGACTCTACGGATTGGCTTGATAGGCCCGACATAGGACGAGCCAGTGTTCACTATAGCGTTATAACTACCCACGTTACAACCACCTACGTTATAACCACCCAGTCCATCCGGGAATGCGTTCAGAAGGTTGTATGGGATGTGACTGCATTGACTGAACATGGCTTAAGACAGACCCACGCGGACCCCCGGCTTATTCAACCACCGGCTCACGTGCACAGTGTCTGTTCTGAACCAATTGATTTTCGGAGATAGACATCCCGGATCGTACCGCGATGTCCACCAATCATACGCCTTCTAGCAGCCACTACGTGAGCAAGGTGTGCATACTCTATTCTGATCTCCAGGCGTGTGCGTACGTGTTGTTTTCGTACAGCACCTCACCATATACCTACAGCATCCCACTATACCTGACAGTCCATGTCAGATCTAAAGAATGCCAAAGCGTACTGACTGTTCAGTGATACGCCCTCCAGACGACAAATACGTCAGGTGTGCGTACCTCCTGTTGACATACACTTGAGACTACCCCCAAAACTGCTCGCGCGCGTAAATCTATTCTGTATACCCACCATATATCATGAATCTTGGCACCGGTCCAAAAAACCATAAACGGGACAAAATCGTCCCCCAACTAACAACACGCTCGCTCTAGGGCAGGTCCTTGCAGACTCTCTTGGTGTAGGCGCTTCCAGCCATACCAATGCATTTCTCGGGGCTTTTCGATATGCGGGTACCATGTCTCGCGCCTGAACACATACCAGTGTTACGCCGTTATTGGCAGTCCGTGAAGGAGGCAGAGCATGCTATCGCGGTGGTGCAAAACAACACACCGACGGGGAGACGGAGCGTTGCTGCATGGTGAGGTAAAAGAGGATACGTGTAAGCAACACGCTATATAAACAGGATATACAAACGCATATATATGACGTCTCAACAACCACTGCTCCATGAGATGATGTAGACGACTGACTGCAAAAGGTAATGACTGTTCCATGGATTGATCAAATGATCATGCGTACAGAGACCAATTCATAGATCACACATCGACATTGAAAATCCAATTAACTTAGACTAAGCTTTTATACAAACACTGATATATATCCTAGCAAGGCACTTGGAACACTCACTCGACGCTAGACAGAGCATAGAACAGTACAATAAAGCGCATAATTATGAAGTAAAACTGATACATTATATTTGAGATATCGTCCAGCACTGCTACGCGCAGAATCACAAGTGAGGCGTAGACAGAAGCACAGACCTCCTATACACATACAGCTACATAACCGGCTAAGACGTGACACCTCTATCCCTAACCAAATAGAAGGATACATAAGTCTTACACACCATGTTACTGCGAGACTTCCACATCCGCATTCGCCCCCATTAGCGTGCTGCTGCCGTTCATCTTGGACATGAACTGTTCAACGCGACGTGTGGCGGCGTTCTTCTGCTTCAGAAGCGTCTCCATCTCCGACTGCAGTTCACTTACTTTGTTCTTAGACACAGCCAGTTGTTCTCGATACATGCCCTCGCCATCCAGCACTTTCTCTAAAGTGCTATTGAGTGTTTCTAATTTACCTACTAATATTTCGTTGTCTCGTTTTAAATCCGCTATCCGTATCTCGAACGAGCACATGCGCCTACGTCTTTGTACACTTTCGGGAGAGTGAGGGGATGAATTGCTTCCAGAACCCCCATTTGAGTGAGTGCCGTGAGAGTTCAAATGTGTGCTTGCGTTAAAGTTGGGTTCAGGCTGTGTCACGTTGTCCTCAGCTACCACGAACATGCGTAGGCATATGCAATTCAAGAGACTTAACACCATCAGCACATTGCAGAAGGCTAAGATCAAAACCTCGTGCACCACCCTTCGCACAATCCAGAAGAAGGGGAATTTCCGTTTGATAATTATGTTATTTCCTTTGTATTTCATGATTTCTTCGCACACGCCTGCATGCTCGCTTTGCTCGTGCTCAATTAGCGCTAGAAGTCGTATAGTCCACCGTTGGCATTGAGTCAGGAATTGTGACGTGATGGACATCACAATATATAGGACGTATAATAACCACTCCATTTTGATGTGTATGTAGGGATAGGCAGTATAAGATTCTATCCTATCACACTCGTGTATACCTTACAAGGGCATTGAGAAGGCAAGTCTTCTTCTACACGCGCGAAGAGGGACAGTGTACTGGCGAGTATTTATTGTTCCTTACAAACCCATATAGGTAAAAACTCTGATATGACACTTATGCTACAAAATACTATGTTTACTGTGTGACCCCTGACAATCTCGTTGTCTGTATGTTGGGCTAAAGCAGTTCATGTCTATCGGGACGTGGTGGATATCCGGGGTTAAATAAATATAACATCATCGGCAATAAACGAATACCGTGCGACGTGCTTGCTTTTTTTAAATCGCGTGTTTAAAAAAAAAATTGTGTATCCAGAGAGTCACCAATGAAGTCAATGTCACAGTCATCAGAGTTCTCAGTTCGGAGACAGGATTCAGGAATCAGGATCACAGCTGTGTCTTCACTGTCTTGTTGGCTACAGCGGTAAATAAAAAATTATGTAGCCCAGAGTGAGCCCACGGCCCCAAAGTCCCAAACTCAAAGTCACAGCCACACACTCACACTGTCACACTACACAGCGCACAGAACACACAGGGCAGCCACTTCGGTTCAATTCCGACTGTGTCCTGTTGTGTGCTGGGCATTGGACAAGAGGTATTTGTTTATTTTTTAAATTAGATTAAAAAATACCAGTATGTACGTGAATAGAAATACTTATACTGCTGAGTGCTGAGGGCTGACTACTGAAGTGCTGATAGTCTGATAGCCCGATACATAAATACACCCTTATATTGCTCTTTTTTTTTAAACACCAGATAACACTCGCATGGTCAAAATTAACGTATGGGGGGGTTTTTTATATTTCAACTGTTCTTGATAAATTTACGTAAACATTGATGGTGGTCAGAGCACCGAGAGAAAAATAACGTACTATAGCAATTATTATTGTAAAATACGTATTTCTATAATTACATATTTACATACATACATACTTTTATAATTTCCGATCTGATGCAAAAATAAAAACACCTCCGAAAATATTATAATTTTTTTGTTGTTTATATCAAATTTTTTTTAAATAAAATTAATCATAGTCATTTTATGCTGTCGGATTGTAGCCTCTTCATAGCCTCATGAAAAAAATAGTTTACATACGAGAAAAAACTAAAACCTTGCTTTATTCTGGTGCGAATTTTTAGAAAGAGGCACAAGATCCGAAATTTTGGACCTCTCGATAAAAAATAAGAATCAATAAGAATCTATACCGGGAAATTGATTGGACGAGCTGGCTGGTGCGGTATGTAATCTCCGAACCCAGCGCACGGGATATTCTTAGGTTATATGTATTGTAATTACAATAACATTATATACCAGCGAGTTGCCTGAAGGTAATATAGTAGTGGCTAGAGACAGTGTGGATTCAAGCTCAATTATCACTGCACGTAGAAAAGAGAGAGGCTAATTCCAGTCTAATTTGATAACTTGAACTAGTCTATACCTAAGCACGTTCAAAGTCTGACAAATGCTAGAGGAGAGATATCCCATTGTACCATAAGAACTTCAAACGGATTGCTAACACGATAGTTGTGATTCAGAGTACGTATAGTCAATATGTCGGACAATACGGCAGGCAATAAAAAGGAAATTAATGGGCATATTGATGTGCCGCAAGCACAAACAATGGCCCTCCCCGGGTCGGACTCTCGAGTAGCGCCTGATACACCAGACCACGCTAGTTTAAGCATGGCGCATACCAATCGAATATATGAAGACCGAACAGATGATGATAGAGGTACAATGTATTGTGATTTTCTGCGTGCTCATGAATGAACTACATTTGTGTATATGTGGATAGACTGAATTTTGCCTGTGCCAGTACTTGGAGTTTTAATTATTGTTTTGCGCACTATACAAACACACACTAATCGTTAGTGTTCATAATATATATATATATATATATATATGTGTGTGTGTGTGTGTGTGTGTGTGTGTGTGTGTGTATGTGTGTATGTATATATATATATATACAAATATATATATATATATATATATATATGTATGTATGTATATAAATAAACACACATATATATATACATATATATATATATATATATATATATATATATATATATAT